AAGCACTTAAAAATACTAGTAAATATGATTTTCTGTATTTTTTGTTAATTGAGGATAACCAAAAACTATAAATTTTGTATATTTATTTTCTTTTTATTTTATAAATAGTTCTTCATAGTGTAGTGGTTATCATACTAGCTTGTCACGCTAGTGACCTGGGTTCGATTCCCATTGAGGAAGTTTTTGATGATTTTTATTTAAATTTTTAAATTTATTAAAATTTTTATGCCCTATAATGACAAGTTTGTTAACAGCACCAGAAATTAATTGTGAATCTATCGAATTAATTTCTGAAAATAAGATTAGACATGACGATCCACTAAAGTTTCGAATTTCATTCAAAACCAAGAATATTACAGAGGAAGTTGACTATAGTGTTATTTACTTTGGAGATTCTAATGGAACAGATAATGATCAGATTATTTCTCATGGAAGTATAGGACCTTTTGAAGATGACATTTCAGTATTTGAAATAGATACAGATCCAATTGACTTGACCAAGATTCCAATTACAAAACTTTTTGGAATGACTTCTGTAATCTTGGTATTCAAGTATAAAGAGACTGAATTTTTAAGAGTAGGTTATTTTATAAATGTAATACATGATTCAATACCAAATTCAGTGTTAGTGGACGAGGAAGAACGTGAAGAAGATTTAGATGAAGATGTTGAAATAATGAAGGATGATGAATTAGATAGTTCATCTGAAGAAGAATGTGAAGAATCTGGTGACGATGAAATAGTTGAAGATGATATGGAGAGTTTATCAAATGAAGAAAATAATGATGAATTTATAGAAAAAGAATCTATTGAAGAAAATGTTGATAAAAAGGAAGATCAAACTAATTATGAAGAAATATTTAATGAAATGCCAAAAAAATTCAAAGAATCTATTTTAAGTGCTGTTATGGAATCTTTTGGAAATAAAAAAGTTCCCTTAGAAACACCCATTACAAATGATTGTGATGAATTTGAATATAAAGGACATAAAATCAATAAGAATGAAATACTTTTCGACATTTTGAAAGAACCTTACATTGATTTTACTGGTCTTGAAATAGAAGGTGATGCTGTTTAAATAAAGATAAACAATTTATTTTTTCTTATTTTTTATGCCGATTTCTATTTTACAGTTGAGCGTTAATTTAGGATTATTTTCATCATTGTGCTTTGCTTGCTTTTTCTTAAGAATCCTTTGATAAATTTCATTGTATTTTTCTTCCCTGGTTTTTGGTTTATTAACTTCAATAGGCTTCTCTTGTTTATTTTTAGGATGTTTTATTTTACATTCCTTTTTATGATGTTTAAATGAATGGTGATTAGTTTTGTGTAACGCTTTAGGGTGTCCAATCTCTGGATTTTGGTATAAATCACTATACATCTTTTTACGTTCTTCTGTAACCCAAAACCTATTTTTAATATCTAATGGTTTAGTAGAGTTACAGTTATCATCAGTAAGACGAATACCAGGGAAGTTTTTTATAACATGATGTCTCTTAGCACATAGTAAACTTATAAACAGTAACATGTTGTTGTTTACACTTTTCTATTTATTATAGATTTAAAACATTGTTACAAATTAAAATTTTTTATTATTTATACTTTCTGATTAATTGGTTATGTCAAATCAATATTTTTAAATATTTTTGTTAGTAAATATAAAGTATGACAATAACAGATTTTTTGAAAGAGTCACTTAAATTCTTAAAGCTGATAAGTGGGCCTGTATTAGCTCTTTTAGGTTATTTTGTTGTTACAGGAATATTTTGTTTAAGACTTAGTATTTTTGGATTGGGACCAGTTATTGCAATATTTCTTATTTACAATGTAATATTAGCATTCAGAATAGTTTATTTTATGCAAATGTTTGTATCAGAAGATCAAAGTGTAATTAATACAAAGCCTGCTGCTTTAATTAAAAACAAAGAAAGATTTGAACATATAAATGAGTATGTGCTTGAGGGTATGATTAACAGTAAGTCTATCAAGTGGCAAACTTGTAATATTTGTAAAGGATTTAAACCACCTAGAGCCCATCACTGTGGTATCTGTAACAGATGTTTT